ATTAGCTGACCATGAAACTGCCATCTCTGCTTAGACGGGCATTGCCTGTGAAGGTCTGCCTCTTTATCTCAGTGTGGAAGTGCAGCGTCTCATCAGAGTATAAGCAGCAGGTTTGCATTTCATTTGGTCACCTAGTTGGTAAAAGACAAAATAAAAGGCGGTTCCACATCATTCAAGCGCAGTGCTTTCTGATTTGTCTCCTGAGATGAAGCGCCGCTGCTGGTTTGCAGGAGCATATTGTTGGTTTTTAGCTTCATCCTCCTCAGTGGCGACACCTGAGAAGGTGATGATAAAAGCCGAGCCTGACGGCGCCTGCAGAGAAACTCAGAAAATATTTTCTGCTCTCTAAATGCCTGAACTTAATTTGTTTACAATAAAAATAACAAAGAATTCACTTTGTGCAGCAGCTTGTTCAAGTCCATCATTCATTCATTCATTCATTCATTGGAACCAGTTGCTGCGTTTCTGTAATAAATGTTTCCATTAAATGAGAAACATGATTAGCGTCACTGAATAAGTTAATAAGTCGTTGATAAACTCGCCGCTCCATCGGCCTCCAGCCACTTCCTGTCGTTTTCTTCTTCATGGTTTCTTGTGACTCGTGATTCTTGCAGTTTGGTTTTCGATAAAATACTTTCTCATCCAAACACCGAAAGATTTTAGCAACAAACAAGTTTTTTTTTTTTGTATTTGTCGTTTTCACATGAAGCAAATGTATTTTTGAAACATCAGGATCTGCTATGAGCGGCTCGCCTCTTATTAGCATAATTAATTCAAATTACTGACAGTGCTAATTATTTGACGCTAATGTGTTAAAGATTTAATATTTCTATTAAATATTTGTTGAGCTTCAACGCCAATAGATTATTTTACATGGTGCCATTCTCATAATGTCACAATATAATTCTGTTAATATCACATTATAATTATTGTAATATTATGAATTTTGTTCATTATTAAAAATTGGAATTTAAAGTTCAAATAAGCAGGAGCTGTAAAACAAGATGGCCGCCGTGAGCGTGCTGACATCACTCTGAGCTACAGAAGCCCAAAACCATCGATGGAAAATAAACGATTAATAAATAAACTTGATTTATCACCAGGAGCCTTAAAACCGAAGTTTAGCTCCACATTCCTGCTCAGTGTTCTGACGTGAACTTTGACCTTTAGCATGAAGCTGTCAGGTTTAAATGTTTCAGTGTTGATGGAAATATGGCCGGTCACTTTCCCCTTAAATCCTGTAAAATTTCAGATAATTCAACAATGTCACCTGATTTCCTTGAACCGAATATTCATGCATTTTCCTGCCAGCAAACAGTGCAGACAGAACCGAGACGTACCATCACAGGTCCAAACGGGTTTCTGACTGACTGAGGTCTTTAGAAGATTAGCGGCTGCAGCAGCAGACGGCCTGACCGACCGACTGATCGCTGCGTTTAAATGAACAATTACAGAAACAAACCGGAGTGACTTCATTGGCCACAAAAAGTCACATTAAAGGGCGGAGCTGCTCTTATTTTCACAATAAAACGCCCTTTTAACCACTTTAGAGAAGTTAGACTTTTTAAAAAAATACTTCAATTATTTGCCAGGTTGGAAAAAATTATTCTGCTTCTAAAAACATGTGATGTATTTTTAGAAAGTATTAAATCCAAAAACACCAAATTCTAATAAAATATTGTAATTTTATCTCATCTAAGTTGTAAGTGTAGGATCTTGATTAAAGTAAATAGATCCTTAATGTTGGTTTAAAAAGTTCTAGTTCTCTCAGATTATTTGATTTATAACATGGTAAATTGTCTTGAAAGTGGAATTAGGATTTTTAAACCAACATTAAGGGTTGAATATTAAACCCTGTTTTTATGGTTTTATAAGTTGCTGTGAAAAGAGGTGAAGGTGAATCACTTGGGAATGATTTTCAGTAAAAGCTGACATGCGAGGTCGATTTGACCCTTCAGGACCACCGTAGCTGCTGCTCTGTTGTTCCAGAGGCTGGATGTGTTGACAGAAACAGGTTGGGGGGGGGGGCGTCTTCGCTCAGTCAAAGGCCGCCTTTCAGCCTCCATGAAGCATTTATGAACCAGCATCTCCCTCCTCTGCTCTTTATTCTGTTCACAACCTCTTCCTCCCCCATCCCTCTTCTTCTTCTGTGGTGCACACCCTCTGCCCTTCTTCCTCTTGTCCTCTTAGCTCCTCTTCCTGTTGTTCTCTCTCACACACACATACACACACACACACACACACACACACACACGCACGCACGCACGCACGCACACGCACACACACACACACACACACACACACACGCAGCAGCCTGTAATAGATTTACCCTCTCCTGGAGTTTGTGTGCGCTCGTCTCTGGTGTGTATTTTTTGAGAGTCCCTCTTCAACAACTCAAGCAGAGCGGATCTCAGCGCTCTGAGCCCCTCTGCCTCAGAGTAAATGTTTGTGCTGCGAGAAAAGACTCACAAAAACCGCCGGAAGAAGCATTTATGCCAGGCGGCAGCACATTTTTAGCACTTTTAAAGCGTGTTTGTGTAAATGCAAGGCGTTGCTGTAGAGACTCCTCAGATAAATGTGTCACTCTGTGGCTCACTGCAGGGTTTTTTTCTACGAGTGCTGACTGTTAAACAGGTGGAAGTGACACACCCGGGTGTGTAAATGTGTGTGTGTGAGGTCCGCTCCTTTGCTCTTTGATCCCCGTCCTGACAGCCCACCACCTGGGACGATCCGCCACATGCTGCATGGCTCCAAGGCGCGGCGACGGCTCGGGAATCTCAACGCAGCGGCGGCGCTCCAGCCTCAGCAGCCAGCCCCCCTGCATGCTATATGCCACCAGAATCACTAATGCTAACACCAAAAGCTAACCCTCGCATGTCCAGCTCTGCAGGAAACGCCACTGGAATTGGTGGCTAGCGGCTAACACTGGTTATTGGAATTGAAAATGGCCAGAATGTGAACACTGCTGCAATTGGAATGACAATAGTAGTGATGCTGTGGGCTGAGGCTACGCTAACGGTTCCCCGCTAAATGACATACTCTTTACACCAAGCTGGAGAAAAACCACTAAAAGCTAACGTGGCTCCAAGGCTACAGCTTAACTTTAAACCAAACACCTGGTCAGCTTAAAGTCCAAGCTTTGACTGGGCCACAATTTAACCTTCATTCTTTGAGCCAAATAGAGGAAAACAAGATGGAGCAGCTTTAGCCTGCTTCGTGTTGTTAGTCAGGTTCCACCTGATTTGAGTTGTTGCTCTTCTGTTTGTTGTGTATGATGCTAAGTCTAAATTCCTCCTCCATCTTGCTGATTGTCCCATTAGAAGGGAACAGGAAGTGACATGTGGAGGTGAAGCAGACACTAAACCCGGTGTTATCTGCTTGCGCGGCGGGCGCAACGCGGCGGGCACAGCGCAACGCGGCGGGCACAGCGCAACGCGGCGGCGGGCACCAGGCGAAGGGCCAACTCGTCCCGCCGGACGCTGCAGGAATCCAGATCCGTTTCGCTCCCGGCCTCATCTCTGGGACGGCGGTCGAAACCCGCTCCAGATGCTCGCTGCTGGACCGCCAGGCAGGCATCACCGGCCATCAGAACCAGCAGCGGCTCCGCCGCGGTCCGGCTGCTTTGATTTGTGTCGGGAGCAAAACGGGAAAACAACAAAGCAGATGTAAACAAAAGCGCATTCTGCTCACCGCTGGACAAATAAACAGAAATTAACAGATGGCAAAAAACTGGAGAAGGACGATCCGGCAGCGGCTCACCTGTGGCTGCGGCGCCATAATGGGATATTTACCTCTCTAATGAAGCCAGCTCATGTTTGATGCAACACAATCTCAAACCCACAGGGTGTAATGAATTCTGTGCTGCATCCTCAGTGTGGATTCAAAAGAACTTCTAAAATCTTTTCATGAATTGAAGGATCTTCTGATTTTCTGACGCAGATCAACAGACAGCGGATGGTTGCAGAAGAGAAACATCCACCTACGATTTCTTTCTGTTTTGCATGAATGTGCAGAATCTGCAGAGCCGGGCTGCAGCTCTTCTCTCCTCCCTGCAGGGACTCACAAACCTGCTGCACTTTGCATCTTTCTGTTTAATGTTTGGGATTAAATATAATCCATCAGGTCAAACATGACGGAGAATGGAAGCAACCAGAGCGTTAATAAAGGCCCTGCAGATCATTTTCCATAATTAAAGGTTCGATTCTTCACAGGACATTTGTAGATAAAAGTACAATAAAAAAAACTGAGTACAGAAATTAATCTTCAAATAAAATATAGAATAATAATTTTAAAAATTTACTATGTGTATTGTTAATAAAAATAATAAAAGTAATAAAAGAATATGATATAAAATATAATTATAATGAGTATTAGAGATAATACTAATAAGAGTAATGATATTGGTCATTATGGCAGTAATATATTTTAATCATTGAGATATTTTTACAGCTTTTTCCCATAATTTTAAATAATTTGACTGTTTTGTAAAATGAATCCAATTCATCTTTAGGGACATGACATAAACATTTTGGAGATATCTCAGTTCACAAACAGAAGATAAACAGATTTCTGCAGAGAGAAATTATCCGTTTTCTATGATTTGAGGAACAAACAGGCCATAAATGTGAATTTGCAGAGGCTCTCTGCTTCCTGGCTTAACCTTCATGTCTGTAATTACGGCGTAAATCAGGTCAGTGAACGCATCGCTTCCTTCTGCTGCAACTTCCCTCTGATTGCTGCAGGATTAATGAGGAGAAGCTGCTGTGTTTTATTTTGTTTTTGTGTTCCTGCGTCTCCCTGCGAGCCGCTTCCTCTTGACTCGACTCATCAAGCTTTGAAACCAATCCAGAAGCCTTCTCGTCATCTCGGCGCTGGATGTTTGTGTGGTTAACATTCACTCAGCGTCTGCAGGTGTCGACAGGTGATGCCAAGCGGATGAATATAGAAGCTGCTCTTTGTTGCTGATCCCTCTGCTCTCTGTGTTTCCTCTGTCTCTCCAGGCTGCTGTTTTGTCACGTTTTACACAAGGAAAGCTGCCCTTGAAGCCCAGAATGCACTGCATAACATAAAGACCTTAACAGGGGTGAGTATTTGTGTCTTGGCTTCTCCTCTTCCCACCTTTCGCTCTAATCACACACTCCCAGCAGCGCCCTGAGGCGCGCTCGCCCCCGGCCTGCGTGTGTCGGTGAGATTACCTCCATGCTGCCACGCCGCATTTAGCCGCGGTGAGTGACCGGGCGCGCGCAGGTGAGCAGCCGCCTGTCGCAGGGAGTTTGTGTGAGAAGCCTGGTTGTTGATAAGCAGGGAAGCAGATGCTGGAGGAAGCCGCCGCTGGGAGTTTGTTGGAAACAAATACTGTTGTTTGGAAGCATTGTTCCTCCAGAGGAACACGCTGTGAATGGCGTGGAGCTCGAAGCTGAGCTGAAGGTGTCTCCCAGCTGGATCATAACATTAGAAAGAGCTGGATTTGTTTTGGTGGAGCTGCAGGAGTCAGAGATGTAATGTGGTCTCTTTATTGGGCCTGCAGAGATGCAAATTAAACTTTCTAGCACAGTTTGAACATCCAGAGGTTCCACCAGGACTGCTGGTTGTTCCTCTAAAGTCTTCTCATATTCTACCATAGAAAACATGATTATTTGAAGTAGTTTTCTTTATTTACTCAGGTTTCTCCTGTTAGATCACAAGAGATCAGCAGGACATCTCGATAAAAACCAGCTTACAGAGGCGAGCATGCAGCAGTTTGTTACAGCGAATGCGTGTCAGTTTGTCACTCAGTGTGGAAAAACATTCCTGACAGATTACAGCATGTTAAAAAGTCATAAAGGGACTTCCTCCGTCTCCGTCCTCCCATCAGCTGCTTCGAAACGACACACGTTTTGCTGTTACACTGTTCTCATTTAGACAAGAAATTATTTGGGTTGTAATGAGATATAAAAGTCGTTAAACCAAGAAAAGACACACTGCTCTCGTACTCATGTCCTTGCTCTGGCAGTTAAGCTCCTCTGTGGTGTTACTGCACTCAATGGGTTAAATGTGGGAATCCGACTCTCTGTTCAGGGCGTCTCTCTGGTCCGGGGTGGCCACTGCAAACATCTGGAAAAAAGAAAAGAAACAACAATCATCTGATGTCATCAGACATAGTTTTATGTCTGGGTTAATTCCCACCAACCCAGTTTATTCCGCTTTAATCCAACTCCAGTCCGTTTGTCTTGAAATCCGGTTCGTTTGGTGAGTGTGAACGCATAACCAAACTCTGGTCCGCCTGCAAACCTTCAGCTTCCTCCAGTGGATCATTGGATCGGCCTCCAGGCGGTTCAGGGGGGCAGCTGGGAGCCCCTCATATTCCCCGTATGGAGCCAGAATGCTGCCGCTTCCTCTGCGCAGACGAAGCGTGTTAATTGCAAGCGGAATAAGAGGGTTAAAGTCAGCCTGTTGATCCGTCCGGTGATCCGGCTGGAGGAGAGAAGCGGCCTGAGGACAGAGGCAGCAGCAGGTTTAGGATTACAGGACATGAAATCGCCTCAGTAACGCCGTCCGATCCGCTCTGGTCAGCCGTCCTGCAGGTAAACCTGCAGAGTCGGAGGAAATGTCCATCCTGATGCAGCTGAACTGAACCTTCAGGTCTTTTCTCTGCACTCACTTCAACATAACCAGGCATCTGTTTCTGTAACTGTGTACATTTATATGACTGGACAGTTTTATTTATTTCCTTTAAAATAAAATTGAAAGAAAATTAGAAATTTATGTAAGACATAATATTTCTCAGGTCTGGTTCCAAATATTTGTGCAGAAACACTTTAGTAGCTGGTATATATTTTCTTCTATCCTATTTTTATGATCAAATCAGAAATAGATATACTTAGGGACATGTACCAAACTCAAGGCCCGGGGGCCAAATCCAGCTCGCTTTAATCTTTTATGTGGCCCTCATAAAGAGAACATTCAAGAAAACGTTTCTGTTCTAAAATATGATTTTATCATCAAATCAAAGCAGTTTTTATCTCGTGGGCTTGAACAGCTTCGCTAACTCCTTTTAGCGCAACCTGAACACAACGATAGGCTCTCCAGCGTCCAATCAGATCGGGTTTTAGAAGCAGAACTACAAACTCAGCAGTCGATGGAGGATGTCGTTTGTGCGTCAGATTTACAGGTGTACCAGAAACATGCAAATACAAAGGTTCCCGACGGAGCAAACATTTTATTAATTGTATTACAATCTGTATTATGTTGAGATTTATGTAATTACATAATCAAAACTAATGCAACAGCAAAAACTGCAAATGACAGCAGGAGTGTAAACACTGATGGAGTTTGTTTCTGCTTGAAGGAAGGATCTGTGACGATGCTCATTTGTTCACCTGGGATGCGGCATTTCTGCAGCAACTTCACACATGAGGAGCAGAATGAGTCTAGATTATAGCTCCATTTATCCTAATCTGCAGAACCTATAATCTGTATTTAATCTCCCTAATCCTCCATTTCATAACTGAAAATCAGCAGAAAAAAATCAGGAATTGTTGATGTAATCCAGCTTATGTTCAACGTAACCTTTGTACTGACAAGCTCTGCAGCTTTTACATGTTGCCTGTGAGGCCGTTTCAGTTTAAAAGGCTAATGGAGCGGACAGAGAGAGTTTTATCGCCTGCAAGACAAACCGCAGGGCAACACGACCCACACGCCTCTTTCTGCCTGTAAAAATTTCCACAAAGCATCAAACGCAGAAATCAGCATTTAAACAGCTTCTAATCCCAGTTTGGAGGGTTTTGGTCTCGTTTTGCTCCGTGCTGGTGAACCTGGAGGGATCCGTCCTCTGAGGATCAGATGACACTGATCAACAGCTCAATATGTCTGTAATTAAAGCTGTGTCGCATTCATCATGTCGGAGATGCACAACAATGACTCGCGGATGTCAGATCATCCCGTATTGACTGGGAGATATGCGTTTAAATTGAATAAACCGCAGCGGCTCTCCAACATGTACCTGCAGCAGACACAATCAATAGCAACCCAATAACGGCGAATTGATGCGGTTTTGTTTCTGATTTTGTCTTTTCATAAACGCTTCTGATTGGACGAGGCTGAAAAGGTTAGGGGGCGGGGCTAAAAGCCAGCGCTTGATGAGGAGTTGGGATTAATTGCTCATAGAGACGTGAAAACAAAAGGCGAGCAGGCGGAGCGGGGCGAGAGCCGAGCCAGAGATTAGTGGAGCTGATGAACGGACGGACGGGGAAAAGGTGGAGTGGAGCGCTGCCTCTCGCCCAAGGCCAAAGCAATAAACGCGCCGCCGTTAAAAACCAATACCTGCTTATTAACTCCCCCACTCTGTGAGCCTGTAAAAGCCAGTGGAACAATGTTTGAGTTGGCACTCTTCCCTTCCCTCGCTCTATCGCTCTTTCCAAACCCAGGAACTTAACAGGGAGAGATGCAATCAGAGTGGAAAGCTGGACGGGGCCCAAACTGGTCTGCCAGTGGCCAGCGGCAGCCATGTTGGATTGGGGCAGGAACACTCTTCATGTCGCTGCACTTAAATGTGTCCAGACATGATTTTCATGTGTGCAGATTGCACCTGCAGGTTGTTTTCCATTTGTTTGTAATTTTGACCAATAAAGTGAATCTTATTGTTGCAGCTTCAGGCCCAACTTGAAAGAAAAGCCTTAAATTATGGAACCAGCCTGCAGACATTTCTTCCATCATGAAGTAATAATCACATCATGAATTATTCAGTTTGTTCAACGCAGAATTTGTGAACCAGCTGCTATGCACAGTGGTGTTGGCATCATGCTGTGGGCCGACTCGCATATTTAGGTTTCTGAATTGGTCTTTCTGAGCCTGCAGCTTAAATGCTGTTTAAAATGTCTGGAGTATCTTTAAAAATCTGTTTTTTCCCTGAAAACCAATCAGTTTTTAAACATTTTACCAATTTAATGAAACAGATAATAAAATATTCAGTTAGAATGATGGCAGGAAATTATTAATGCTACAAAAAGCATGTTGAGGTAAAAATGAAGGAAAAATGAAACTTTCTGCACCTTTTGTTCTTCTTTGTCACCGTCCTCGTCCTCCTCTTCTTCTGTGCTTTGATTCCGCATCACATTCCCGCTTTTCTTCTTCTCCTGTCAGCCTGCGTCCCATGCTGCATTCATGGGACGTAGCATGAATGCGTCCCATGCTGCATTCATGGGCCTGTGGATGAGAAGACATATCTGCAATCTGTCCATGAATACATGGACTGGTGTGATTACTTAATAGCCTCCTCAGGGACTTTGGCAGGAATGTAACACCATACTTGTCCAACAACAGTGTCTGACTTCACACATGCATTTCCTTAAAAATCCTAAAATATGAGCCAAGCATCAAACAAATGAATACTTGAATTAATTTTTTTTCTCTTCAGTTTGTTTTTGTGATGGGACAAGAGAAGAACAAGAGAAGGAAAATGAACAAACTTTCCTTTTCTTTACCTCCATTTCGTCTTTATCCTCTTCTTCTATGTTTTGTATTTGCGTCACTTTAGACACATGCTGTGTTCAAGGGCCCACAAATAAACAGAAATGTCTGCAATCAGAGCTACTCAGTCAGGAATGGGACTCCATACTCGCCCAACATTAGTGTCTGACTTCATATATGCATTTCTGGAAGAATGGTTAAAAAAATCCCAAAATGTGAGGCAACCATTAAATAAACACTTCAATATTTTCTGTTTCTATTCAGTATCAATATTTTCTTACAACCAGGTATTAGCAGATAATAAAGCCTTTTTCTAGACATCTGTCTGCTTTGGGTTTGGCTACCCTCGCTTCGTTAATGCGCCGTCACGACGCAGCGCGCTATAAAAAAAAAATAATAAAACGTAGAACAATAATGAGAGTTTCTGTGAAGACAAACAGAGCCGACTGTTTCCCAGCTTTCCCTGAACTTCTCCTAATGACCCGCTAATGAAGGTCGAGGGGGGTGGAGACAGAGTGTTGCCTGGAGAGCCATGTGTTCATCCCCACCACACACACACACACACACACACACACACACACACACACACACACACACACACACACACACACACACACACACACACACACACACACA